GTGTGTGTGTGTGTGTGTATCTCAAAAGGGCATCTCTGAGAATCCCGTCTATACACACAGAGAGACAGACACAAACACAGACACAGACGCACATTAAACAAACATTTATTGTGTCTCGCTCCTCCTCCATTTCATCAAGTTGTTGAAATTAGTCTGAATCTGTAAACGTCACTGGAGACCAACACACACATATACACATACACACACACAGTCAGATGTAAAGTCAGGAGTCCATCCAGATGGGAGGAGATCCTATTGCATCTGCTCTAACAACAGGCTATCTGATCCGAGGTCAGTTTCAGTCACCTCGGTGATCTGGAGTGAATGTGAGCCGTCCATTACTCTGTGCTGTGCTTTAGGTCGAACTATGTCAAAATACAGCGAGGAGGAGTCTGGTTTGGAAACCTTGTGATTAGGGGTAGACTGATATATGGGGTCGGTATTGGCCTTTTATCAGATATCGCATATTAGTCACATCATCTATGTACAAGATGATGAGCATTCCTGAGAGCTACATATGTAACACAGCAGGATTTTAATTTAACAGATGTTAGACGTAAATATAATCTTTTCATGATGGCACCCAATCATTTTATCACTGAATCAGTAAGGTTTCAGAGCCTTAATGAGCTACTAACAAAACATCTGATTGAATACGGGCAGAAATATTCAGTATGAATGGTTTCAGTATGAATTTTCACAAGCCTATGAGCCTGGAGCCCAAGCTGTGATCCAAATAAATGTACTTGTTTTTGATACAAGCAAATCACAAATCACTGGAGGCTGAAACATTTTTTTTAGATCCAAGGCTTCTTGTCTGGAGCAGTGGGTGGCACTGAGGTGAAAAGGTCTCTTTTTTTCCCCCAAATGGCACAGGAATAAATCCTTCTGAGAATAATTCGTTTTAAGGAAAAAAAAAAGTGTGTCTACGTGTAAGTGCTTGTGTATATGGAAGAGAGAGAGATGTCCCGAAGGGGATACAGACTGCGGCTGGAGGCCAACAACAGACCAATTACCCAGCTGACCACAGCAAGGAGCCTTTAGCTCAGAAGGTTAATACAACATGAATTGATTTGACACGCTAATAAAATGTTAAGGACAATGTTACCTCAGGCCACGACACATACACTTACACACAGCCTCTCTGTCCTATTTACAAAATATGTGCAGGGTGATACAGAAAAGCAGAAAAGTACACACAATTAACAGGCATGAAAAGTAGAAAACTGCACGCACACACACACACACAGTGCCATGGGGCCCCTTGGAGGGTATTATATAACATTACCCCTGACATATCAAGTGATTTCACGCACCTAGAGGCAGGACAATCGAGCCATTTGTTCAGCAGGTCAAAAATAGCCGCCTCCGTCATTGCCGTCTACTATTACTACCATTACTACCACAACTAGTGTCTGCACTGCAGTTTGGCTTTAAGGGGACCCAGAGCTCAGAATGACCATAATATATCTGCAGAGGTTAATATGGCTGTTGATCAGTACAAATGGGTCAATTTTGGGGGCAGCTCCTGGGATTTAATGACTTTACAGTGTTTTCTGACAAAAACGCTACACAGGAAATTCAAGATGGTGCACAATTTAGTGTTATATAAATAGTGTAGTAGCTGCAGCCATATTACCATTCCAGTATGTTGTTTGCTGATATATTACCTCTATACCAATGAACTCTAAACCGGCTGATTAAATGTTAAAGTGAGGTCAGGTTACTCAGACGTATAAAGAAGTGAGGAAGATTAGTGGCAGGGGAAAAAAGAGCATTAAATCAGAGTTAATGCTCAACAGAAGCTCATTCACTCTCTCACATTACTGCAGTTTAATGTAGAAATGTATAATACATGAAAGAATGTATTTGTATATTAACCTATATAAATATGAAATAACCATTTAAATGTAAAAATACAAATCCAACTCTCACGTGCATATACAAATAATCTACTGTAACTAACTCGTCCTCTATCAGCTCTCCCATTCAGCAGAAAACAGGGACACAAAGAAGCAAAGCTCTTACATCAGCTGACCCGAGTGTTTGAAAACCAGGACCAGGAAGAGGATATGTGCTCTCTGCTGCAGCTATTACAATCATGCCTGTTGTTATCTGTCCCTGAAGTGTCTCCCTTTAGTTTAGTGAACCAGACAGGACAGAATACAAGTCATAGGAACATTTATAGAAAAGAGTGTACATGTGAGAGTGAATCTGTCTGTACGGTGAAGCAATTTGTTCCAAAGATATTATCCTTTTATTCTATTTCTACTTTGTGGATATGATAGAGATGGCTTGATTTGTTTCAATGCAACATCTGTTGATTCATAAAAACACTGAAAACAAAAGCTACTTTCTCAACCTATTAAAAGATTCTTTTCACTTGTTATGAGCAAAACAACTTTTAAAACACTAGATCTTATTACTTGTCAAAACTTCAACAACCGTTTGTATCTGTTGCTGGAGGACTGGAATGTGACTCAGATGTGGAAGATTTGGTTTCATGGTATTATAAAAGATTTATTAGGAGTGTCCAACTTGTCTGCATCATGCATTGTCCCTGCACCCGTGGTCTCTTCAGGTAGACACTGTTTCCACCTGTTGATTTCATTTTTGTGTGTAAAAAAAAAGTGAAACAAGAAGAACATGCGACAGTATAAGTAGGAAGTAATCCTGGAGGCCTGCAGGTCTATTATAGCAGTCCTCTGTAGTTTAAAGGGCTGTTTGAGCTCTAGAGGCTTTTAAAATGGTGGTTTCACGTGTTACACACATCTGGCGCAGACTGCTGCCACCTTAGACTGCTAACCAGTCTCTAACTCCAGAGACGCCTGGCATCGGGGTGATATGCTCGACAGTAAAAACGGTTTATGGTGAGGTTGTGTGTCTGTATGTGTGTGTAGGTGTGTATGGGTGTGTGTGTTAGTAAGGAGATGGAGATTAGAGAGGAAGACAAAGGAGAGAGAGCCAGTGTCAGTTGCCCTGTGTGGACAACACACGTGTAACCTAACCCTACAGCCATGGCCATGACCTCACCGGGTTTTTCCACAGGCACGTACACACACACACACACACACACATAGCGAGTCCTTGGTTAGCATACAGCCAGCGGAGCCTGGCACAGCAAGAGCAAGCTTCCATTCAGAGAGTCATGCATTGTAATCCTACACAGTGTGATCACAGAGGCATGCTTCACAGAGGAGAATGCTAATCTAAACTAAAAGGCAGGACACAAAGAAACAGCCGGGTGACTCGTTTCTGACGGGTGGAGCAGTGGATCGAATTCATTTTGATCTCAGGTTAAAGAAGAAACCTTTGAGTGCTTCCCACGTGAGTCAGCACTAAGCGCAGCTGGCTTGTGGTGATGTTTCTAAAGTTCTTTACACAGAGAAGAGAAGCAAAATGGGGAGAAAGTGCCAGAACTGCTGCTATTAGGATGGGAATTGATTGTGGGGAAAAGGCAATCGTAACATGCCCATCGTGGTCATAGATTCTCCTGGAAGCGGAGCGAGATAAGTGCAGGGTTAGCTCAGGTTCACATCCTGTAGCACACTTGCAGTCACTGTTGACATTTTCATTGTTGTCATTCACCATGACCACATTCACGTGAAAATGCAGCAATTATGTGATGAATGAAAAACAGTTGCAGCTGAAAATTTGTTGGAAAATATCTGTAGAAAATAAATGTAGATAATTCCAGATCTTTGTTTCAATTGCATCTAAGATTAAGGTTCGGACCACTCCGCTGCTAAGAGAAAAATGACACAATTAGGGAATGGAAATTGAAAAAGTGAACTTTTTAAAGATTAAAGACTTTTTATAAAGACAACTGGATATTGTTCACACAGGTAGCCAAAGCCGTGCAGCAGAACAATGACTGCTGAATTTAACTTGCACACATTTTGTAGGACTTTTTGACACATAGTAAACTACACTGCTGCATGACCTGCAGCAAACCCACACATGAAATACACAGCGGACAGACTACGTGTTTCCAACAAGGCCAACAACACCTCAACACCTGTTCTGTACTTTACTGCACTTCTCTGAAAATCAAACAGCTTAGATCATTCTACACTGGAAAATATGCTGTCACCCAAGCTGTTTAATGTGTGTGTACGCTGTAAAAAAAAAAAAAAAAAGAGGACAAGATGTAGTCCTTAGGGGAGTTGACAGGCAGCATTTTTCCACATGAATGTTTCAGTGTTGATGGCTGTGGCCTAACTTTAAGACACTTAAGTGAAATATTACCAAGCCACAACACAACTACTTATTAAGTCCCAGTTGGTATTTAGTCAAATTTCTTTAGAAGTTGAAAGTTCTACCTGCCACCGTATGAAATATGTTGTCCTGTCTGTCAGTCTCTATGATGTTTCCAGAGGTGCTGATTCCATCTGTGGAGACACACAGAAAATAAATGAGTGAAAAGCAGCTCAAATACACAATATAAAACACTAAGACGTTATTAAAGCAAGTACAAGTGGCAAATGCTGAAATTCTCCTTTCTATTGTGAAAAATGTCAACTGCAGGCTGCCATGAACTGTCCCAGAGAAGTTGTTGCAATGCCTGCTGGCGGCCGACACAGATGACTTAATGCTCCTTAAAGGTTTGTATTAGCAGACTGGGCCACCTGATGGGTGCGGCTGGGCACAATCTGAGCTGCTCTTGTGATGTAAGCCCCGCCTGTCATGTTTAATATTTGACCCAGAGCTGGATAGAAAGATCACAGAATAAGTATGGCAGTGCTGGTTGGGACAGCAGAACACACACAGACACACACAGACACACACTCAAATAAGACAAAGAAAGAATAAAGTAGGCAAGTAGTGCATGTATGATGTGTGTGTGTGTTGTGTGTGTGTGTGTGTGTGTGGGTGTGTGTGTGTGGGTGTGTGTGTGGGGGGGGGGGGGAAGACCTGTTGAACTCTGCTTGCTGGTTAACATCTGTTGAGCAGCAAAAACCCAATTGGGGTCAAACACAAGGGGCCAAAAGTCGGCTAAATAATATTTGAATAACATCTGAGAAATGACTGATGAGACATGGCACGGTTGAAGCTCACAGACCACAAACAATTTCAACAAAACATTCATTTGTCTGTTTACGAACACAACCACAAAATGACGACCTTTCTCTGGCGACCCACGGCGCGTCTAGTGACTTTATCCTACTTTGTGACACTTTATGTGCAGCCTTATTTCTATAATATCCCGCCAGGAATATCGTTTCTGTGAGAAAAACGAGCTAATAGTGACTTTGTGGTAGTTACGTATCACTATACGACGGCTAAAACAACACTACAGAGAGCAGAAGATGGTATTCATCAATTTTAATAAGGTTTTATTTTCTGACGCACTTTACTTCTAAGCGCTCGTGGGCAATTAAAACAGAGGAAACACCTGCGCAGGTTAGCTAACCACTCATAGCTTCTCTTAGCATTAGCAATGCAAAACTCCGATACAAGCAACACATTTAACAAGTAAAGCCCATTAAACAAACTTCCAGCGGTTCCCACCTCAGACTCTGTCTCCAACAGTGTTTCCAACAGTGTTTCCTACCTTTGTCAGACAGAATCCGTTAACACCTAACAGCCTCTCGAAACGGTCCAAACCTTTAAAGATATTATAATCCAGCTAAACAAGTCCCTGTGCAGGAGAGCGAAAACCCTGACGGGAGGTGATGGCGAGAGCCGCTGGTGTTGTCAGTGGAGCAGTACAGAGGAGGAGGAGGAAAAGAAAAGAAACTTATCGGAGGCAAGTTGCAGAAAAAGTCCGGCCCCTCAAGTCCTGCCCCCTCCCCTCCCCTCCGCTCTCCTGCTGACAGAAATAGCAAGCAAGGCGGGTCCCACCAAAAATAGCCTTGACTTCACACGGACCTTCAGGACTATTGTTTTTCGGCACTGACTGACTCCCACTGGGTGCACACTGCAGCCAATCCGCGCTTGGCTCCTTATGACTTTGGACAAGAGTCCTAACTTTGTTTCCACAGTGTGTCAATTACAATAATGCCCCTACGCTGTGGCTCCATCTGCTGTCAAATGCCTCCAAACCAGCGCTGTAGTAGCAGCAGGCAGAGTGATGTGGTTCTGTGGGTCCTCCTCCAGGAGCCCCCCTCCAGGAGCCCTTCGGAGGTCCCCAGACAAATTAGCTCTTGAGTGCTCGGATTCAAGTCCCCATCATCCCACCCTTACTTTTTTTTTGACTTGACTCTCTAAAAGTCTGTGCTGACATTTTACGTTTTTACATTTTCAAGAGTAAATGTTTCCAAAAATGACAAATCCTTCACTCAGCACGTTATTTTTGTCTGGGTGAGACAGCGTGTGACACTCCAGGTGGAAGCACATGTTACTGAGTCTGCTGCTTAAAAGTAAAGGAACCTCCAACACATTCAGTACTGACTGCCAACGCTCTGATTTGTAATAAACTGCCATTATGTGTCCATTGTATTGAGACTGTATTTTATAGTACATGACATAATGTATACAGCACTGAATAGTCCCAACAATTGGCTATTCAAATTTCTGAAGTCTGTTTAGGTACACAGGGGCGGACGTAGAGGGGTGGCATAAATGCCTCGCCACCCCAGTTGTCAAAGGCAGTCAAATTGAACACGTTCATTTAGATTTACCTTTTTTTAAAATGTGCTAAAAAATGGAAATGAACACTTGCCTCACAAGTGATTGGCTAAAGTTAAATGAAAAAAGATGTGTATTTGGGAAAACAATCTATTGGTTTCTAATGCCACCTTTAGTTATTTCTATTAATTGCTTTACAAATGTGCCACAATAATGTAATGTAATATTGTTAAAATCTTCCTTTTGGGGCTTTTCTAAGAAAATTTTGATATATAAGATTGTTTGTGATGAATCAGACTATATTTTCTGGCACCTCATGAATTTTTAATCTTTAAACGGTACTCCAAAAACATGATTTTACTATATATATATATATATATACAAATAATTCTCATAATAATTATTAAACAAAACCAACAAATGACTAATACACACCCTGCTGACTAATATCGTAAGTTTCACGCTAACAGTTATTTAACGAGAGCTTTTAAATTTGATTACAAAGACTTGAGCAGTTTGGATTTCTTTCAATACATTTAACATCACAGCAATATTATTCTCTTTAATCATATAAAAACTTGCACTTCCATTTAATGAGATCAACCACCCTAAATGACCTCAAGTAGAGACCTAACATGAGAAAAGACTCTAAGAGGACTCCTGAACATTGTTTTCACGTCCTCGCCAACAGTAGAAGAAAGGACCATCATGAGGAAATGTTTGGAATAGTTTCTGTAGGCCTAATAACAATGCCATATATTGTTGAGCTGATTGTATAAATAGCTTTACTCACTACTGTACATTAAATTCATGGAAAGGCCCAAACTATGCCACAATAGAGTTGAAATAGGATTAAAACTGCAACTAACTTGCTCATATGTTGTAGGATTACAGATTATAGTAGAGAATCAAAGCTAAGTCAAGTCGGTTTTGAAACAAAACACACCTCTGTACTGTACTATTGTTACAGATCAGCTGTAAATATTGCAGGAGGAAGGCTTGGTAAAAGAAGATGTTATTTAAAGTCAACAAATCCTGCTGTTCTGTCCTATGGAAAACCAGATCTAATCACAGCAGTGGATATTCCTACCATGTGGAAAAAGGCCGTTAGATTTCTGTAAGCATGGTATGCACATTCCCTGAGCACGATACAAATAATAGTTTGTTCCTGTCCAGCTAATAACAATAAATGATTTTCAAGGACTTACTGCAGAAAGTGAACAAAAAAGAAAATTGTATTTCTTTTTCAATAGCAGAATATTTTGTATATTTACAGCATTGCAGGAATAACTGATCTAATTCACCGCAATATATCTGTTGTTGTTATCAAGTACACAGTATCATTATAAACGTTACGCACCACTGCAATAGATACAATATCATAAAACAACATTATAAACACACTATGATTAAATCATTGTGGCTCATTGTAAGTGTAACTATGAAGTCAACTTATTGTAAATGGTTTTACAGTAAATGAAGTGAGAATTGAACATATTGCACTTAATGCATGCTCACAAAAAGACATACTCCATTAGAGTTAGAGTTCTGAAGAGACCATACCACAGAATGATGAGAATCAGACAGTATGTAAAGAGGAAGCTCTGAGGTAATATGGTTGGGAAGATTTGCCAGCAGTTACTGTAAAGCCAGCGATGTGGTGGAAGGTAAAGCAACCTTCGCCACCTTTGTGTGCTGACATAATCCCTTAACAAGGGTCATCATCACATCACATAATGCTTTCGATTACTGTTATAATGACAAACTATATAAGTTATAATTCACACCTGCTGTAACACACTTTTTACATGGAAATAAAGGCAGTTAATTCTCTAGAACGTTCTGACATTGCAGGTACAAATCTTTCCTTGTTGTTGTCAGACCACCTAGTGCAGGGCACCCATGCTGGAGGCACATTCAGGGAGGAAACAGAGCATCCTGTCTGTGTAAGCCACGATGTTCAAACACACACACATTTACATATGTTATTGTGGCAGCTTGACGCAGGAGCGTCGTCTTGTCAGTTTTTCTGGTCCAAAGTCTTCCTAGAATCAAGAGGCTGTTTGCTGTCAGCAGCCGCTCACACTGTGTCACGTACATCGTTCAAACGGCGTCACATGGAGTGTGGTCAGCATGACAGAAGCCCTCAGTCTTTTCTCTGTTTCATTAGTGATTCTGTAACATCATGAAAATCAATCTATACGTTCTGCATCACAAAACTAAATCCCCAAAAACTTTCACGAATAAAGATAATAATTGGATCCTAAAATGAAAATAGTCACAATTAGAAGAAATACATAGACAGCCACAGTAATTATTCATGATTATTAATAAGTCTCTACAGAATATCTATTCTTGTACATATGAGAAAAATCTTTTTAGAGGTACTTTTTTTGCCCACCTCTATGTCTTCCCTACTGTTCTTACTTTTTTTGAAATTAGCTCTATCTGCATAGTAGGCTACAGTTTCTAAATGTTTTGATGCAGAAACTGACATTTATTATGGGTTTCACTAGCACTTCTCAGTGTTTTTCCCCACTTTCAACCGTCCTTTTGTTTCCACAGTGCACAAGCGTGTGTACGTTTTATCCTTTTTTCCGATCTCAGCGTCAGCCAGGTCAACAACTGATGTTTCAGACCAATATTGAAACCAAGAAGCGTGCGTCTGTCTACTGCTGGTGGTGCTCCATCGTCCGCTCGCTCACCCTCGGGTGCCTCTGTGAACGGGGGGAGCCCAGCACCGTTCCCAGAAACCCTCACTGTGTGGGTGTACAGAGCTACAAAACTGTGTGTGTGTGTGTGTGTGTGTGTGTGTGTGTGT